GTATTCTTAAAATAAAAATAAAAAATAAATTCAAGATTAAAACAGGAGAGAGATACTAAGATTGAAGTGATTCCAATGAGGAACTGATTCCTTAAAAGAGGAAGACAGCAAGCAGTGGTTTCATCCAGTGAAGACAGTTTCACAAAAGCTGATACTGGGTTCTTGAAGCAAGGAGTGAAAAGGCACAATGCCCCAGAATACCTCCTACAGGCAGAGCTGCAGTGCTGATCCCCTTTACCTGGCCTTCGAGCTGGCTGCAGGCTGCCCATTGCCTGCTTGTACCGACGGCTCTCATCTTCTGCCACTTCAGTGATATCTGAATAATCAACAGCATCCTCTGTGCTCTTAACCCAGCCTAGGAAGAAAACAAAACTTAATCCTAATTTATGTTACATCAGACTTCACTAACTACTTACGAATCCTTTGCTATGCTTCCTTTATTTTAAAGAACAAAACTATCTAATTAACATCACCCACCAGAGTACTTTTCCCCTCATTCTAATCAAAATCTCTCATGGCTCTGAACTTCCTCTAAAAGACTGGTAAACAACCAACTTTAGCACAAGGAACACCTATCACTTATTCACTTCAAGTTCAACAAGTTCAGAAAGAGATATTATACTGTGTGCAAAGTAGGCTTCTTTAATACAAACACAGACTAAACTTATTTATGAAGGTGGAGAAACAAGAAAAAATATTTATAAAGAATTAAAGGGAACAAATGCAAAACTGACAGGAGCTACTGTGGGATTCTGTTTGGCAAGGTGGAGAAGGCCTTTGACAGGGGGCCCCTTACCAGGGAACACCACGATATTCTCTGCAGACCAGGGTGCATTTTGTTCTCCCCAGCTAGAGCTGTGACCCTGCAGCCCCTCTGCTACCCAAGCACCGCTATCCCAGCTATGCCAAACCTTCCTCGTCCAGGTGCGCTCCCTCGCTCTCGGCGCTCTCCTCCTCGCTGGCGGTGATCTCGGTGATGAGGTTGCCCAGCCCCAGCACGCCCAGCCCGGCCAGGTGCTTCTTGGATTCCTGGGGAGACCAGAGCTGGGAGGCTCCGAGCGCCGGGCCGGGCCGAGCCCCTCAGGCTCCTGCTGGGTCCTGCCCCAGAGCCCGCCCGAGCATCCCCCGGGACACCTCAGGACATCCCGAGCACCTCGGTACATCCCGGTTCACCCCAGCAGAGCTCAGGATATGCCGCTACAACCCGGCACATCCCGGTACATCCCGGGTCACCCTGGCTTCACCCCGGTACAGCCCAGGTGACCCCAAGCGCTCCGCTTCACGCCCGTCCCTCCGCCCGCGGTGCCTTCCCGGAGCGACACGGCCCTACCTTGTCGAGGACGCTATCCCCTTCCAGCTGCCCCGCCTCATTGATGTTGCCGAAGAGGAAGCCTGCTAGGGAGAAGGGCTCGGCGCGGCCGCCATCCGCCTCCTCCTCGCTCTCCGAGTCCGACATCGCTGCACGGACACCGAGAGCGGGCCGGAAGCGGCGGCAGGAGCGGTGGCGGGAGCGGCCCCGGGAGCGGCGCCCGCCCACAGCGCCCCCGCGCGGCCCCGCCCCGCGGCGCAGCAAAGGAAGCGCAGACGCTCCGCCCTTCCCAAAAATTCCTTTATTGCCTCGAGCAACCGGGTCTGGCTTTCCACAGGAAAGAGCTGCCTTCAGCACAGGTGCGGTACAAACGGCAGGGCGAGTTAATGCGACAGCCAGAGAGATGAGGAAAGGTTTATTACAATGTAATTATGCATAATTTATAAAAAAAAAAAAAAAAAAAGGAAAAAAATACTTTAAAACTGTTAGATGTAATACAAATTATTTTATAGCATAAAATCAAGTTGCCAGTGTATGTATCAGTACCACACTTCAGAGACTTGGGCTCCCACTGCTGATGAGTGGTCTTTCTGCCCACCCTGGGGGTTGGGACCCCCCTGAGATCCATCCACTTCTCGGGGTCAGCCCAAGCAGCACCAAGGTTTCTACAGAGTGAGGTTTAGCACCCGGAGACAAAGCACAGGAAGGTTCTTCTAGTTTAAATTTCATAGAAACAGCTACAGCTGTAAACGGAAGAAATCACTTCCACATCTAAGAACACCTCATGGATATCCTTTGGACACACAATTCCTGAACTGTTCAGCTTCAGCTGTCTTAAAAAAAAAACAAAAACAAGTAGTTCAGAAATCATTCACAAAGCAAAGGTTAAAATCTGTGTCTTCACAGTGAGTCTCTTCTGTGAATTAAAACATACACATTGCATCTCTATTCAGTAACAAACCGAAGGACCTGGAAACCCACACTGATTATTCTGACCTCCCAAAACAAGACAAAATCCAGCCATGGGATTATGTGAAATCTGTATTTGTCAACTGCCCACAGAAGAAAAATAAAGCATGGGAGAAACAGAACTGATTGTAAACTGAAGCACTGGACTACTTACAATAAAAGGCACCAAGAATTCCAGGGGGGGGAAAAGGAAGGAGGATCACAAAAGGAGAATGCCCAGTGAATGGAAAAGCTCACTGGATTTGTCCTGAAGCTTACCCTCATAAAAAGCAGAGGCTGGAGGAAAGCAGCTACTAGCCAGGACTTTTACTCCTGCCAGAGAGTGACAGAAATACAAAGCATTTAAATAACCAGGTTCTCCAAAATGAGTAAAAAGTCTTTGATGGTTCAAAGTTCCCCCTGCTCATTTTCATCACTATCATGTTATTCTCCTCAGCACTGTTGTGCAATCCATTTACTAACTAATCTAAGTGGGGATAAGGTGTTCTGGCATAATGTAATCAACAGTGTAACTAAATCAAATAAATTGATTAAGCAGTTGAATTTTATCTCGCTATACTCTCTTCCAGTTCACTCCAGGATGGCTGCTTGAGACTACAGAAATGGAGGAGTTGTGCAATAATACTTGCTCACAAGATTTCTTCTCCACAAAATCGTTGTAATTCAGTTAGGAATAACCACAAAAAGATGCAGGATTAAAAGATTTCAGTATGTAAAAAAAGTAAAAACTTTTAAAAACAGTAGTAGCTTCAGTACAAAACTGCAAATACATGTAAAAAAAAAAAGTAGACTTTTAATTTCAGGCACCTCTTAAGACTAGTTCAAACATATCACAGACTTTTAAAAGTACATTTCTGAATAAAGCAAAGGTTATGGGCTTGCACCGGGGTCAGTTGATTTAGGTCTGACCAGCATTAAAACAAACCATGTGCACTGGCTTAAATAAATACATTTTAAACATGATAAAGTCTATTTACTCAGTTACTGAAATTTACCTACAGAAAATAATCTTGAATTACAAGGCACGGAGTTAATTGCTGCCTGCAAGTCCAGCCCACACTAAAGGCCTACAGCTAAAGCAAAGGCAGAACGTGGTAAGTAGAGGTTATCTCAGTGAATTCTCTACACCCTCACAGCCTTCAGGGCAGGAACCACATCTGGAACAGCACTTCCTCTGCAAGTGCAAGAGACACAAAGACACTCTAGGCAATGGCACTTGGTGAAGAAAAACGTGCAGAGTCTGTAGGCTTCTGCAAATATCCTGCAGAATGGGTGTTTTTGTACTGCCTGTGCTCAGCGTTTGGAACTCTGTGTTGGTTCATTAACCACAGGTACCAGTACTTGGATTAATTGCAATTTATAATCTCTGGGTTGCAATTTGCTAAAGCAGCACCAAAATGAGCACGTTTCAGATTAAAAAAACTGCAGTTAGTGTCAGCATCAGTTACACCAGCTGAAGAAAGGCACATCCTCTTCAAATAGTGGAATTAGGGCATAAATACCAACATTTCTATCCAAAAAGTGGAATTAGGGCACAAATGCAAATGTTTCTATCCACCTGGTATTTTTGCCAGCATCACATAAAACAAGGTCAAATTAACACAAGATCCCTAAAAACCTTGTTGATATATTTTCTGTTATCTTGCTAAAATGAGGCACTTTTTTCTCTGACCAGAGTATACACCAGTGCAGTTTTGCATGTGTGGGAATCACAAGAAAAAGCAAGTTCTGAATGACCAATTGAGAATGCAGCCAGACAAAGACAGCACTGTCAACTTCAGACAACAAAGCCCAGTCCAGCACCAGTGGTTTCACACAAAGTATCTTTGAAGCATGCTGCTTTCATACCACGGAGCTGGAAGGTTGAGTCTAAGGAAGGGCTCATGCGCTCACTCCTCAGCTGGTCCCGGAACCACACATAAAGAACAGTGCACATCCTGAAAATAAAAGCCAGCTGCCACTTACTAGAGCTGCTAAAGAAGGTTAAAAAGTATGTAAATAGAATTTCAGTTAAAAAGAGTTTATAATAGCTGAGCATCCAAGAGAGGAAAAAACCGCCCAGGTAATCCTATCCAGTGACTGGCTAACCATTACAGACTGAACTGAAAACAGGAAGAAGCACGGGTTCCTGTAAACAGAACCTCCAAATTTTCTCACAGAAAAGCAAAGAAGGAATTTGCCATAAAAATCTCAGATGCTGGCCCCAAGAATGTTAGGAACTGAAGCAATTAATTCCTCAAGAGCAAACAGGCTGCTGTCAAGTCTCTGGGATTCATCAAAGGGATTACACAGAAAATCTCATTTTGAGAAGTGTCATCCCAAATACCTCAGTCAGCCTGAGAAGGTAACTGTTAAAACTTTATTCTCAGGGTGCTAAGTCTCTTTGGACAGTGAAATAAAATCTCAGTTTAGAAGATTATGGAAGACTTGAATCTAAACTACTCTTCCACTTCTCCACCTCAAAACTATGAAAATCACTCATTTGAGTGAGTCATCATTATTTTAAGTTCCTTACATAAGGAGAAATCAGCTCCTGCTTCTATTAATAAATCATTGCAGGTATTATCTTGGTCTTGCTCATTGCATTAACCATGCCTAATGCTAACTCTTCATACAGTCAATCACAGTTCACTGTAAGGTGAATCTCAGTAATAGTTCAGGCATTTTTGCAAGTAAACAAATTGTTTTCAAGCTTTAAATTGACAAAACTGGACAGCCAGACTTCTGTTTGTAAAACAAATTCAATCAGTAAATAAAGGATGGGAAAAGCAGAAGCTACACTTAAAGCAAAATTATATCAGAATTTATGCTTTTCAGCAAATCTAGTAACTGATGGCTATCTAGTAAAGAAGTAGCTTCAAAGAGGTCTCCTCTTTTATTTTCCTCCATTAAAATAATCAAGTGATCCCTGGAGAAGCTGGAGACTGGAACTTCAGAAATAAAGTAGGTATTTGACCTCTCAATTGGAAAAAAAAAACCTGTTCTGTTTCAGTTTCCCTGAAGCAGTAAGACTGCAAGAATATTCATTGTATAAACCATTTCTGCTTAGAGCTGTTAGTGCAAGATGCAAATCTTCAATTTAACTCGTTAAAAAGCCCTCCAAGATTCTAGTCAACTTCCAACATGCATCAACCAAGGCAACTACAATAAGACACATTTTCTTGTGTTCTTCTTTGTCACAGGATACAGAACTGCACGGACAGCTTCAGCAAACACCTCCCGAACACCCTCCTGATTCAATGCCGAGCACTCCAAATATTTGACTGCTCCAATTTGTTTAGCCAGTGAAGTCCCCTGCTGCGGGGTAGTGGGAGCCAAGCTCTGCTCTTTTAACTTTTTAACCGTTTCCAGGTCACTTCTCAAGTCTCTCTTCGTGCCCACTAAAAGGATGGGGACATTTGGACAGTGGTGAGAAACTTCAGGGTGCCATTTGTGCCTCACATTTGCATAGGAAGAGGGGCTGCCAATGGAGAAACAGATGATGAAGACATTAGTTTGGGGATAGGAGAGCGTGCGCAGGCGGTCGTACTCCTCCTGGCCTGCAGTGTCCCAGAGGTTCAGGCTGACTGTCCGGCCATCCACGGTCATCTGGGCACTGTAGTTGTCAAACACAGTAGGGATGTACTCTTCTGGGAAGGCATTGGTGGTGTAGCTGATGAGGAGACAAGTTTTTCCCACTGCACCATCTCCGACAACCACGCACTTTATAGTCTGCATTCTTTACCCAGAAACAAATTCCTGCACAAAGCAAGAAGAGAGGAGTTAGGCCAAGCATGCTCAGTGGTGGTCACTGTAAAGATAAGCTTTAGCAAGTGTTTTTAATATAGCTGAGGATTTCTTATCACATTCAGTGTCTCAAACCACTCTGAAGAGCTCGAGGCTAGAAAGACAATAGTGAAATGGAGATGCAATGAGTGGAGAGCTAAGTGACAATTGGCTGCATTCCAACCATGTAAGTACAAATTAGCCAAATTCCCACAATCTTGCCTTACTGCCAGACTGTTTCCCACAGGCAAAAGGACAAGTCCTTAGAGGCACCTGCAAGTGGAAAGGGATTGTGACCCAGTAACAAGATACTTTGTCATTTGTAGGTTCACATATCCACCTCTGTACACACACACACACACACACACACACACACACACACACTCTCCAACACTCACACTTGCCTACCCAGGCTGCTACCTAAACAGTTTACCACAAAGAAAGGTCCAAAAGTTATATAAAAAACCAAGATATTAATTTCTAGGCTGGACTGCTACTGCTTATAATAATAATTCACTGTACTCAGATCAATCAGTCCTGAATAAACTACATTATTTACAGGACACCAAATAAAACGTTCAGAAAGCAGCACATTCAAGAAAAGCTGTTATTTGAAATCTAACTAGCCATAGTAATCCAGATTAAAATCCATAAAGAATTTTTCTAAAGAAGCCAAGAACAGATTACTCTCACTAATCACTGACAGAACAAGCAGGACTTAATAGGCTTGAGTTACTTTGTGTCCTCTAAATAATGAGCATGAGAAAAATACACACCCTAAAAGATCAGCAGTCAAACAGCTTTCCTGGGGAATTGTTACTCAGGAGATTCTTGAGACTTAGAGGTTTTCCATATCCCTTTCCTGAGATGTGAAGACTAGGTTTGACAATCAAACTGATACAGTCTAAAACACAATTAATTTTAAACTTTCATCACATGAACAGTAAGAAGTTTTAAAATAGCAGGGAACTAACTACAAGCAGTCATTTGTTGTACATTTCTTGTGTGCTGGAGCTTCCACTGCTAGCCTGGACAAGAAGGAACTTGCACCTGCCTCCTCACCCAAATGCCTTTGAGGTACTATCAGTAATCCTCAACCCGCAACCAGCAGAAAATACCCTGCTTCAAACAGAAGAGAATACTGGGAAGAACTTTTGAGCAGGGCCTGTTATGATAGAACACTGGGTAAAGGCTTTAAACTAGGAAAAGATTGATTTAGACTAGATATAAGGTAGAAGTTATTTACAATGAGGGTGGTGAAACACTGGCACAGGTTGCCCAGAGAAACTGTGGCTGCCCCATCCCTGGAAACATTGAAGGCCAGGCTGGATGGGGCCCTGAGCAGCCTGACCTCATTGAAGATGTCCCCACTCACTGCAAGGTGGTTGAACCAGATGACTTCCAAAGGTTCCTTCCAACCTTAACTATTTTGATTGCATATTCCAGAAAGATCTCAGCTCTAACACCATCAAAGTATCAAAGGGAATACAGAACTTCAAGACCATCCAAGCAAATCAATAATTCATTTCCATTTAAGCCTCAGCTTTGTCCTTTTAGATGAAGTCTTTATCTGCATCCCCATTCTCATTGGGAGCACATGATTCTTCTGAACTAAGTGAAAACAGGCTACCTGAAGCTTTGGCACAAAGCTGCATCAGGCAGCTGGAGTGACACTGACTACTCACCACAACACACAGTGCTTAAGGAAGTATCAATGTGTGTACACAGATACTACAGAAACCCCCAGTGGCCACACAGGGTGGGAAGGAATCACCTTATGCTCTTTGTGCTGCCAAAGCCTGGCTGGAGCATACATGGCAGGTTTTAAAGCCCATTCCTACACTTACATCAAACCCTGAAGTACCAGAACCTGCTGTGCCAGAAACCTTGGTGGTAACCACCACTGCTTCCAGAGGAAAGGTTTTTGTCCCAAATGAACCATCTGTGCAACAGACAATTCATTTTGACCAGTCAGTAATAAGTGACATCACAGAGATGACAGAGCTAAATCAGCAACAAAAGTCTCATGAAGAACAAGATGATACACAAAGCCTTTTATATGCCCAACCCCTAGCTTCTAAAATAAACAAATTGCAAACACTTGTAAACAGATCTCTCTTTAAAACCCAAACAAGCTCCCCCAAGGACTTAAATATCTTTGTACTTCTGTCCAGAGCTCTGCACAGAGTGACAGGGTATCCCCAAAGTGCACCCCAGCCTGCACATGACACGGCTGAGGATCATCACACCAGCACTGTCAGGCAACACAGCTTCCCAAAGGGAAAAATTCCAAAGCCACCTGTATCCCAGACCATCAGCAGCTAACACAATCTGATTCAAAATGTCTAATGAAACTGTGTTACCCAAAGATTACTTTGTTGGTGTTTTATTTAAGAGGTCATTAGAGATTTCAATTTGGAAATCGCTAATAAAGTAACAAAAAAAGCCTGAAACATGAAAGCTCTTTTCATGATACTAATACCTTGAATTACCTCACTAAAACTCGGATTCTAGAAGAGCAACAATTGCAATGGGAAATAATTCCATGCAAACCTGCCAAAGCATTGGGCAAAGTATTAACTACACAAACATGCTAAAGAGCTTGTAGGCTTTTAAGTAAGATTCTCTGAAGGGCCCCTTTAAAGGAGGTTGCCTAAGCTGAAAGGAATCGTGTGTGGCATATGCAATACAGAAAAACAAACACACACCAGGATAAACATTCTTTGTATTGAAACACAAAATTTAGATAAATTAATCATAAAATAAAAAGTAGAAAGAAGCTACTTGATTCCAGAAAACTATGTTGTGAGCAAGGGTAGTTTGGTTAAAGATTTATATATGGAAGACAAAGAGTCACAACCAAGCAAACTAATATTACCTGCATCAGGTCTTTTCTATTAAATCCATATACTTAATAATGTACTTAATACTCATAATGTATGAAGATCTCTAATTGTTGTCTAGTAAATAATTTGCCTACAATAAAACTCTCATAAGATAGTAAAAAGCTGGGGTTCAAATTTGCATGGAAAATTCAAATTTCTTAAGCAGCCTTGAAATTGGCACTGCATGCTATCTAAATATAAATATACATTGAAAAAAAAAAACTCATACTCCAAAAACAAAATTACCAACAAATATTACCAAGAGTAGGAAAATTAGTTTAGGGTTTGTTTGGGATTTTTTTTTGTGACCTTCAAAAGAATTTTTGGGGAAACTTTAGAAAGAAAAACTCCACATACAACAACAAACAAGAACTGAAAGAGAGAAAAATACAGATTAACACGTCGACACATTAAAAAAAAAGCAATTTAGAAACAGAAAGCTGGGCACAAGCTTCAAAGCCAAGTTGAAAGGTTACGCAGCAAGAAAAACAAGTGAATGGAAAATCCAAAGAAGTGAGAGGTAATCTGGGTTCCTTAGTCCTTGCATAGAAAGGGCTTTTATTACAGGTAAGGTTCAAGCAGCTATAGTAGAATTGAAATAATTTTCAAATTAAATATTTTTTTTTAAATGAAAAAAAAAAAGAAGAGAAAGAAAGAAAGTAAGGACGAAAAAACAAAAAAAACAACACCAAATCACCCCACACAGAAGTGTTGTGCAAAAACAGTTCTTTCTATCTTGTCCATCAATGACTTTGAATTTGAAAACTGGCATTCCCTGCTTGGGTCAGTTTTCTTTTCAGAAGATGCTGCTGAGTCTGACTTCACTGCCTGCACACCTGGCAATTCCTCTGGAATGTGCAAGATTTCAATCAACATGTCAAGACATCATCTGAAGAGCTGCTCCTGTTCTGACCTAATTAAGCATTTTCTGGTATCATTAACATGGACAGTTTGCTCTCCAGATGAACATTTGCTGGGGAAATTCACTTCTTGGAACGCACACACAGAGTAACTTCACATCGCATCAAAATTTTTTTGTGGTAAAGAAACAACTAGATCTTCCCTTCAATATTCCTGAAGGGAAGCTCCCTGTCTGCTGAAAGGAGAATACAGCGACAGAGAACAGAGACAAAACAGGAACCTGGATTCTTTTGTAGTTTTCTAGATTTATGCTTTTTATACTTCCTACACTTCTAAAACCTCTTTGCAGAACTACTTCTTAGCAGGACATGCCTACATACCTCTGCCTTTGCTCTTTTAACATCAGATGCCTCTTTGTTAGGTGGATTTTAGCATGGATATTGCTCTTTGATAAACTCCCTCTCACTGAGTTTGTCAGCTCTTCCTCCCTTCTCTTTACAGTTTAGATAGGGCCCCATTTTGGCCAAAACTGAGCAGAAAACTCTCTAGGAGTTGAGCTGAAACCAGCTGTACTGACCTGTGTCATTCTGCTCAGCCATCACATTTCATCAAGCCCTCGCTGTTTTGGAGAACCAGATCCTGCTTTACCAGGGGCAGGCAGAAGTTAAGAAATCTGAACAATTTAATTGCTCATCTTTCAGTAACAAAAATCAGAGGCAATTCACCCTGTCTGCCTTGAAACATGAAGTCAGGCAGGAACTTTCAACAAAGAACTGGGTGGATAGGGCCATTCTAAATATATCACACTATCCTCACCCATGCAAAGGAGTTAATTCACATGTACAGCTTACCCACCAGGCCTAGCAGGGAAGAGAAAGGAGCTCTCAGCAAATTAATCAAGACTCTGTTACTATCCCACAACAGCTCAGCTTACTCGCCATTGTTTTAGGCAAGTGCCAAGGGGATGGAGAAGTGCCAGGCTTTCAGAATACATGCCAAGAAAGAGCAGAAAAAGTTAAATAGGAGACCTCATCCCTCATATCCTTCAGCAATGAATGACCTACTTGGACTTCTCAGTGCCTCTCAAAGTTTTCACACCACTTTCTGTCCTGCCATTTACCTGCAAGAGAAACAGAACTGCAACAGTCTGAGTGGCTGAAAAGAGGGGAAAAAAATCCACAAGGGAAGGCAGACTTCAGCAGCACAGCAGGAACTGTGCAGTCCACCACCCAGGCTCCACATGAACAACAGAACTGAGGAAGCTTGCTCTCTCCCGAGTTCCTTGCCTATAATTTCAGTTCCCAAGCACATAACAGGAGTGCAATTCTTGCTGGTTGTTCCTTCAGTGCCAATGCTAGAAAGGCCTTCATGCCTTTCGACACAAGAAATTGTTTCTAGGAAATAAAAGAAACCCCTCAAAACCTTCCAAATATTTTAAAAACCTCTACCTCTGTCAAATCAGGCTGAAATTGGTTTATTGATTTAAAGATTTATTTTTTTTTTGAAACGGACATAAGCAGTATTTCTTAGGAAACTACAGTGAAAATGAAGTCCTCTGCATGAGGTATTTGGGCAACTCAGCTACACAAACCTCTTACTACAGGCACTCATACTCCAAATTTTATAGCACAGCAATGATATTAGTGACCAAACATCAAACACTTTAAATTCTATGAATCCAAGATATTGGATGGATAATTAATGTTTCCAAAGGGCATTACCTCATGAGACAGATGCACAGCTGATGAAATAACACTGTGACAAGGTGCAGCTGCACAGCCCACAGGAACTAAAACCCAAGACTTCAGCAGATATCCAGATCCCCAGTGATGAACACAACACACATCCTGCCATAATCAAAAGGTGCAGAGCACTAAACTTGGATCTTCCTCCTGCAACCACCATGCAGAGGCACGGATGAATCAAGACAGGGAGGGACCCTTCACAGTTTATTTGAACACAAGTGACCCTCTGATGGTGTAAGAACAGGGCTGCAAGGTGCTGTGCCCACCCACTAACTCACCTCCTGGGCAATACAAGCAACTTGCACAGGTCCTGGGGAGTCACAGTCAGTTCATAAAATGTTAATAACCATGTCCTTCCCACCTCCCACAGATTCTGACAAAGCCTTAGTTGCTACTGTTGGCTAAAACAAACAAACAAACAGTACCTCAGACATAAGGTTTTGTGCAGAGGTGTTTTAAACACGTTGCAGGATAAATGGCAAATCCAGTTTAAGCATTCTTGATTCCTGTTGGAGGCAAAAGGAAAAATAGAAAACTGTTAGTATGTCTTCCTATCATCTTTTGTTACCTGGCATTTGCTGGCACTCTCAGTTGTAAAAAAGCCACTGTTGCACACGAAGGGCAATGTCACACCAGGAAAATCTAAGCTTCTTTCTATGAGAAAATAAAACCCCTCCACATTTTCATTGCATTGCATGTCTCTGATTCTTCCTCCTCCACCCCTAAATTTCACTGTTGGGGGGCGGGGGGGGGAGATTTAATAAAAAATAAAAACACAAACAAGAATAAACAAAGAAAGATCCAAACAAAACCCAACCAAAAACAAAACTGAAACAAAATCAAATAAAAACCCCAAATGAAAACAGAAAACCCCAAAACAGAGAAACCAAAACAAACAAACAAAACCAAACAAAAATGCACTTGCTCAATCAATACCAGTTTTTTCAAAGAGTTTTGGTATGACTAAGACAGGAGCTAATGCATGCACTCAGTGTGTATTTTATCATGGGTTGTGTACTACAATACGGGAACAATTGCCAAGTCTTATTTGCATCAAGTATTGCAATTCTAAAATGTGAGCAAAAGTTACCAGAGTCAAGGAGTCTCTCAGAAGTTCATCAGATTTACAGATACAGGCATGTAAAGTAAAAAAGATACTCCCTGTAAAGGTACAAATCTTTACACTGACACCAGATTGTGTGAAAATTCTTTGGACCCTGAAAGAATCACAGACTCACCACATAAGCAAATCAAACCACATGTTCAGTTTCCTCCTACTAATTGCAAACCACGTATTTTATTGTTTTTCCAAGATCACTGCAAAGTTTCTTCTACGAATAATATATAAAAGCTTTTTAAAATGGAAATGTTAACCTAAAATACATCTCACAATCTTAAGTTCCATGCAGAAAAACCACTGTGCTGGTGAACAGTGGCAAACTGGCTCCAAAGTATGCCTTCAAGTGATGTATTTTACATCTTACACGGAAGAGAACATGAGCTTTTTAAAAATCAAAAAATGAGCTTGGGGCAAAGAGCTAATGATGCTGCCACAAGAAGTACTGCACCCCTGCCCAGGATGCACATTGCAAGTGTAAGGTATGCCTAAAGAACATTTACATTAAAGCATTCAAAGCTTTTTTATAACTCAGAGTAATTATGGTGGGAATCACAAGTGTTTATAAAGCATAAACAGATAATGATTACTCACTGTTTCCTGAAAAAAAAAAAAAAAATAACAAAAAACAACCAAACAAGACCAGAGAACAACACAGGGGGTAAAAAAGCAGAAAGAGAGAAGTTCAGAACAAATAAAAAGCAGCATTGCTTTGGGTTTGAGGTTAAGCAGGAACTCAGTGCAGGTTGTCATAAAACTGAAATTTCACGGCACTGCAGAAGAGAACCACTGAGCTGATGAAGGGGAGCTCCGTGGCAGCTGCTAAACGAGACACTACGGGCACCCCTCACCTTGCACTTCTCCCCCTGAGACAGCACTTTGCCAGTTTCTGGAGATATATAAATCCAACCCTCCGATCCTCACGTGTCCCTCACTCTCAGCAGCGTAGCAAGAGACCTTTCCACAGGCTCTCACCCTCATCCTATGCCAACTTTTTATGACACTCGCTGGGAGCAGAGGTCGCCTCAAATTTGTCGCGGTGCTCCTGATCAGGGTTCGCGTTACAACAACCCGGCCCAACCTTGGCTCGCTGCGGAAGGGGAGAAAGCGCGACCTGCCCCGTCCCTGGGCAGAGAAAGGCTCGTTCCAAACCCTTCCCCAGCATCCCCGGGCCCCCGAGCAGCACACTGACCTTCGCACGCACCGCCCAGTGCAGAAGCCGGGGCGCGCATCCCACTTCCCGAGACCCTGCGGACACGAAGGGGCCAGCACGCCACGCGGCTGAGGAGCCCCCGGTACTCCCGGGCTGCCTGCTCTGCCCCGGAACCGCCCGCGTCCCGGCGGGACAGGTGCCGCCACAGCCCGCCCCGGGCCGGGTCCCGCGGCGCCCGGGCCGGCAGAGGCCGCGGGCCGCGCCCCGCTGTCAGCGCGGGTGGCGGGGCCGGCCGTGGAGGATGTTCCGGCACGGCCGGGCGGGAACACACGCGGCCACGCGCGGGGCCCGCCGGGGGCCGCTCCCCCGCCGCCCGCCGGGCCCGCCGCTCTCCCGCCCGCCCCGCCGGGCTCTCCGGGCCCCGCCGCTCCCCCGCCCGCCCCGGCGCCGCCGCCCCGCGCTCACCTCCGGCGCGGCCCCGCGCCCGCCGCTCCCCGCGCGCCCTCGACCCGGCCGCGCCCCGCGCCCGCCGCGCGCACGCGCCCTCCGCGCCGCCGCTCCCCGAGGGGCCGCCAGGGGGCGCCGCCGCGGGCGCGGCCGGGGTGGGCGGAACGGAACGGAGCGGAATGGAACGGAGCGGAATGGAACGGAACGGAGCGGAATGGAACGGAGCGGAGCATCCCCTCGGGCCCGGCCCCGGGCTGCAGCCGCGCTGTACTGCTCCGATACAGCCCCGCCGTCCGCCCCACTATGATCCCGCTGATGCTAAATGCGTCATTTTGTAATTATGCGTTGTCCGAATAGATCTTGAGCGAGGGGTGGTTGGTCTGGATTTGGATGGTTTCTTAGTAGAGTCACTTCAATATCCATGAGCAGAAATACGCACGCGTGTCTGTGTGCACAGCCACAAACATGTAACATGTATCTTTAATAAGGACAAATATATCCTTAATAAAGATAACACTAGCAAAAGGAAAGAAGGGCCAAACTGAGTGATTGCTTTTGCTTTCTCTGCATAAGACTGTCCAATTAAAAGGCTCCGTGGCAGAAGATTGCTGGGTTTTTCACGTGGGTGAATGCTCCGGTGCATGGCGTGCGCCGCCCTCCGCCCCCGTTCCCAGCGCAGCTCCCGCGGAGTTCCCCCGCCCCCGCAGCCCCCGCCTGGCCCGGCACGCGTTCGGCATCGCCCGCTGCTCCCCCGGGCGCTCTCATGCCCCTAAGGGGCTTTGCAGAGGAGGCCACGGCTCCGCTGTAACTGCCGGCGGTGGTGACATTCCCGTGTCCGCGGTCACCACATCTCCCAGGGACCTACAGGGCCCGGCTTCCCCAGCGCCGGGCGACAGAGAGGGCAGGATCTTACACTCAGCTCAGCCCGGGGCTCAGCACCCTCAGAAGCGGCAAGGAAGGCTGTGTCCAGCCCCAGAAATGCCAGGGTCAGGGAAGGTGCTGGGCCCTGAACACTCAGTCCCCAGGAACACCGAAGGTGCGGGCACGGGGACTCCTCCTGTCGTCCTGCCCCAGCCAGGCACAGAGGAGGAAGTGACAGAAGTCAGGGTTTGGCCCGCTGATGTTTCTTAAGCACCCGTCACAGATTTCAGAGGACAACCTTTGCTCTGGGTGTTTATTAATTGTCCCTTCTGACCCGGAAAAAGGCCATGATGGAGCCTGCACACGAGTCTGGACTACATCTGCTCTTCTGGAGCTGGTGCCAAGGTGCCCAGCAGCTCAGGAGCCAGCAGTGCTCAGCTGCTGAAGCATTTGACCATCAGTTACTCGGTGTTATCATCTCCGGTGTTCCCATCTCCAGCTCTTCATCTTCTTCCTCGGACCAGCTCAAGCTGTCATCAGAGTCCTCATTCTGCACAGCCCCAGGCTCCTCTGTGTTTGCAGCTTCCTTCTCTTGCTCACCACAGGACTGCAACTTGCTTTGGGGGAGCTCCAGCCTGGCCCAGGAGCCAGGGCTGGCTTTGCAAAGTGTGATCTCCACCTTGGCTGGGACCATGCTCACAAAGCTCTTCTCTACGTCAATGGTCTAGAGAGAGGGAAAGGCACAGTGAGCCGGGCAGGGGAGGGCAGGCAGCACTGCCCAGCCTTCTTTCCCCTTACTGGAAAAGCCCTGCCAGAGGAGAAATGTCCTGCTGTGCCAGGAGAAGCTTGGGCTGCAGCTGAGCTGAGCTTCACCTTGTTATGTCTCAGCAGCACCACAGTGCTCCTGCAGAGCTCAGGGAGCTCAGCTTGCCTCAGCCACACACGCAGCTGCGGCACAGCCTCTCCCAGCAGCGAGCTGTGCTGAGACACAGCCATACCCACACCTGTCAGCCCTCTGCTGCCTGCAGGCACAGGCAGCACGCACCAGAAATACAGACAAGAAATCCACATGCAAATTCCAGAGCCTCACTGCTGCTCCCCAGCCAGCAAGCAGCTGAAAAATCAGCTCAGCCCGTGGCCTGCCTGCAACTCACAGCAGGATTGTGCAGGAGACAGGGACCTGCTGGGCCAAAGAACATTTGAAGCAGCCTGGGACCAAACCCAGAACACCAGAACACCTATAGGGCTGGCAGTGACCTCCAGCTCTGACCTTAGCCCTGGATCAATCAGTGCAGCCACCTCAGCCTCCTCACAACCCTAAGGCATTTCCCAGCAGAGATGGCCATAAATGCCTGTATCTGGGCAACCCAGCCCAGGACGAAAACCTCAGGCTGCCTCACAGAAATGCAGCCCAGCCCCATGCAGACTGCTGGAACAGGGAAATCAAAGCAAACAGGATCTTACCCCCCAGAGCTCCAGTTCTGCCTGGAAAATCTTATCCCCTTCAAAGATGACATGAGCCTCAAGCTGAAAGATCAAAATTATCTGAGAGGGTAGCATAGCACTGCCAGAGCTCTTCCCCCAGACAGTGCAGCTGCCTTTCAACACCATATTGCATCCCACATCCAGGCTCCAGTATAATGGTCTGGTGATCCCCTCAGCACCTGGCAACATTTCACCCCTTTCAGAGCATGACAGGTTCACCTGTGACACAGCTCAGGCGGTTCAAGGCCAGCAAATCCACCCATTGGAGCTGAAAGCCAGAGCTGCTGGGCAGATGCAGCAGTGGAGCCACCGGGCTCTCAACGTGGGGATAGCAGGTTTACAGTGCCAGCCCTGCTTGTAGCAACAGGCCACCAAAGAGCACCACAGGCACCCAGCTGGCTCCTGGGGCTGCAAACTCAGGTGGGTCATGAGGAGAGTGCACACCCCACCCCACTCACCACGGTGCGATTGGCCTTCACGCTGCTGAGGGCAGGCAGGGGGTTCTTGGCATAGACCGTCACCACCACCTGGCCGCTGGTTTGGTGCCAGTCCTGCCGGCACAGCACCGCCTTCTTGTCCTGCCGAGGAGAGGAACCCATCACAGCCCAGCTGGGGCTCAGGCACCGCTCAGACAGAGGGGACACCAGAGGATGCTGCCTTGCACATCTCCTTTGAGATGCTTAGTTCAGGTTGGCACCAGCTAAGCAAGAGCAAACCCTGCCTTTTGCACAGGTTTTTTAGGGGAAATGGCTCATGCAAAGGTGAGCAGCCCCTGCCACGTTGTCTGTCCCATGCAACATGGGACATCTGTGCTGTGCTTGGGGTTGCTCCAGGACACTCTAAGATCAGAGACATCTCCTAGCTCCAGAGTCACTCTGCTATGCCCAAGCTCCTAAGTGCTGTGCACAGTCAGGAAACAGCCTGGAGGGCAATGCAGGGGCTGTTACTGGACATGGATCATGGCACCATGCTACACTTGGGAGTCAGATGAGCCCCAACTGGCCATGTTTCACTTTGCCCACCTTGTCAGCACCACAGGCACTGACAGGCCTGTGTCCCCAGCAGGCTCATTTCTGACCATCACAATGAGACAAACACCCTGCAGCCCTCCACACTGCCAGCCAAAGAAATGCTCCAGGAGGAGTCCTGGCCCTAGACTTAGGTGACAATTAGCATAAAACATCTGCATCACAATGTCACAGTTCCCTCACTGCAGCCTCCTTTACATTCAGGATATGTTTTCTGTTCCAGAGCAAAGAGATTGGACTCAGAGAAGGTTGCTGGGAGCAGTGCTGACTCAGAGGAACACAGTGAACTTTCAGGGTTATCCTGGGCTGCTTTGGTGCAACTTTCCCAACTCAAGCCTGTTTCCAGTCAAGAACTTTCCTGGGGTGTTGAGAATTGGGATCTTGTCCCCACTGTCCTGCCACAACACCATGTTGGTATGTGGATGACATTCCTCCTGAGAAGCAGCTGCAGAAGGAAAGCTTCATTAAAGCCAAATTCAGTTATCTGCAATCATCTGTCAAAGCCTTTGGGGTTTTTTTGTAGGACATTTCCTGTGCTCAGCCACCCGTCTCTATGTGGCAGCCTGTGCTGTGTCCAGGGCCAGGTCCTGCCTCATTCAGCTTTCTATTGCACATCTGCCCACTGGGTGTGAGAGCTGACATATCCTATGAGTTCAGAACAACATCTTAAAGGGCAGATGTGTGAAGATTAGGCATTCAAACCCTATGCAGTCATCTGTTGGCAGTTACGAATTTTAAGACAATTAAATGCAGAGCAAGGGAAGGAGCGCTCTCAAATGCCAATAATGCAAATCACTCACATGAGGTGCCTCTGCTGAGAGCCCCCTTACCTTCTTTTCCGTCCAGCAGTGACACCCACGGCTGCAGCCTGGCTGCTCCATGAAGGCGCTGAAGTCTGTGGTTTTGATTCCACAGCAGCTCCAGTACTTCATCCTGAGGAGAGCAGGGTGACCTTAGTGGGGCCATCAGCAGGAGAGGGGACCACAGCAGGGTGGGGCGGGAGAGGGGCTCATTATCAAGAGCTTCCCCTGCCCACCTGTCCCCTTGCAGGGTGTCACCCACAACTGCTGTGGCCACACAGCCTTGTCATGCAGCATTTTCAGCTCGTGGCAGGGTCAGTTTGGTCTCTCATAAAGGATTGTTTCTTACCCCTCATGGAAGACAGGAACACCAGGATGAAATGTACAAACCTCTGTGTTACTCTCTGGGCCCTGGTAGATCTGTGGAGAAAGAAGCAAAGTTCTATATGTGTCTCTGGCACAGGACGAAGTGGCACAGGTGTCCACTCATC